AACAGCATAGCATTGGGTGAAGAAGATCAATTCACTATACAATCTATCATTTTGATCGATGCAATAATGATGTCCGCATATATCAACATCTCTGATTACACAAACGCAGAAAGATGCGCCAGCGAACTTCTTTTCGCACACCATGATTTTGGAGACACAAAATCAGAAGGGGAAGTAAGGTTACAACTGGCAAAAATACTTCGCAAGCAGAGAAGGTTTGAAGACGCAAGAAAACAGTGTGAAATCGCAATAGGAAACATGAAGGCAATTGGAGAAAGGTTAGAGGAAGCCAATGGTTACCGTTCTCTGGGAATTACGTTAGAATCGCTCGGTGAATATCAGAAGGCTAAAGAATATTACGAGAAAGCACTTGCCATCCAAATGCAAATTGGTGACAAGGGAGGAGAAGCAAAAACCTACGTAAACCTAGGAAATGTGTTACTATCACTCAGTGAATATCAGAAGGCTAAAGAATATTACGAGAAAGCATTTGCCATCCAAATGCAAATTGGTGACAAGGAAGGAGAAGCCGCAGTCTACGGAAGCCTAGGAAATGTGTTAAAATCACTCGGTGAATATCAGAAGGCGAAAGAATATTACGAGAAAGCACTTGCCATCCAAATGCAAATTGGTGACAAGGAAGGAGAAGCAACAACCTACGTAAACCTAGGAAATGTGTTACTATCACTCAGTGAATATCAGAAGGCGAAAGAATATGACGAGAAAGCACTTGCCATCCAAATGCAAATTGGTGACAAGGGAGGAGAAGCAAAAACCTACGGAAACCTAGGAAATGTGTTACGATCACTCGGTGAATATCAGAAGGCTAAAGAATATTACGAGAAAGCACTTGCCATCCAAATGCAAATTGGTGACAAGGGAGGAGAAGCAAAAACCTACGGAAACCTAGGAAATGTGTTAGCATCACTCGGTGAATATCAGAAGGCTAAAGAATATTACGAGAAAGCACTTGCCATCCAAATGCAGATTGGTGACAAGGAAGGAGAAGCAGCAGCCTACGGAAACCTAGGAAGTGTGTTAGCATCACTCGATGAATATCAGAAGGCTAAAGAATATTACAAGAAAGCACTTGCCATCCAAATGCAGATTGGTGACAAGGAAGGAGAAGCAGCAGCCTACGGAAACCTAGGAAGTGTGTTAGCATCACTCGATGAATATCAGAAGGCTAAAGAATATTACAAGAAAGCACTT